GAAAATAATTGCTGTCATTGTTTGAGCCAGTAAGTTTTGTGGTGGTTTGTTACATAGCAGTGGATACCTGGAACACAGCTGATAATGTCCCCTTCTCAAAACTGCCCGCTCTGACCATCCTAAGTGTCCTTTGGCTCCATCCATGACTAAAAAGTGATTATTGACCTCAATGCCTAGCCTGGGGCCAGGCACACAGGAGGAGCTCAGTAAATATTTATGGCATGATTGGATGAGTGAGTAAATCCTCTTGTCACATTTGAAGTTATCAGCCATTGATAAGAGAGAGGTTTGTTTAATCATTCTCAGGGTGGTGACAACAAACCTCAATTCCAAGAGAGGAAAGGATCATTATGGAATGTGCTGTCCCGTACTGCTGTGCAGGATTGGGGGCAGACTTCATGACCACCGCCCAGGGGCCTTAGGTGGCCAGGAGTCATTTGGGTCTGCAGAGGTACATGGGGGTGTCCTAACAATACTAGGCTTGGTGTCAATGCAGCAGACAGTATGCCTTATCTTTGTTGAGGAAGCAAGGGGCTGTTTTTGTTGTCTGTCATGCCTGCCTCACGTGTCTTTCTCAGAAGTGGGCATATTCGCAATATGGGAGACAGAAGACCAGGGGATGGAGGCAGAGAAGTTTCAGAGAATCATTCTTGCTGGAGATGCTGCACTTCAGCAGAGCTGATAATGACAACATGTCAGACGATTGAGTTTCGGGCTGGTTCCTGGGGGCCCTAGTCATCGCTTTCTGCTCTGACGTGTGGTCTCCTTGGCGACAGGACGGTTGCTGGGCGGACAGCAGCTTTGGGGCTGCCTGACTAGCTCGGATGCTAATGGGCTCTGACAGCTTTCATTGGGATGAAAAGATTTAGGGTCCCTACTGGCTTTCTTAAATTAAACCCTCCCTCCTGGAGTGAGTTTGTTTATAAACGTTGCGTTAGATTAGGAGAATTTTCCTGTGAGCACAGAGTCCCTTTACCATAGAGGTTGACTTGTTGGGGCTGCTCGCAGAGTTTCCGAGATCAGGCTCCTCACAGCAGCCCAGCCAGGCAAGGATACACCCTGGTCGGGGTCCCAAGCAACACCTCTGAGGGCGTGTACTGAGCAGTATCAATAGGAACACAGGAACCACTCCAGTTATTTTAACAGAGGTAATTTAATCTAGGCAATAGGTGAGGCAGGTATTGGAGGCTGAAAAGGCAAAAAGAGCGTATCAAGGTAAAGAAGGGCAGGAAGCAGCTCCATTTCTGTGGCTGGAGAACAAAGGGGAGAGATGGGGGTTCTGGTCAGAGGCTTGAAACAGGGACCTGCAGAGCTGAGGCCCAGATCCCCAATGAGGGGTGACTGCCTGGTATCTCTGAGACTGGTGCTGGATGTGTGGAAACAACTGGAAATTGGGACACATTGCCATGGGAAGGAACTGTCACAGCAAGGTGGAGAGTCATTGCTGGAGTGATGCTCGCAGGAACAGGAAGCAGCGGGGAAGGAGCAGGCCCACTCCCAGCCCCTTATGGACAGAGCCTGAGCTGGAGCCAGTTGGCCACAGAGAACTGGAGTGCAGAGTCCTGGCCCCAGAGTCACAGAGTAGAGGATGGAAGGGTGGGTCTGAGCTGACTGACATCGGTTTCGTCACCAGCACTGGGAAGCTGAAGAAAACAGTCATGGTGGGGGACCAGATGGAATACCTGGCCAGGAACATCCACACCCACCCTTTCACTGTGGAAATCATCTAATGTTTCCTTAGTTCCTTGCACAGTACAGGCATCTTTTTACATTATCTTATTTAAAGGCAGATAATGGTACCTGCCAGTGTGTTCTGACACTGAGGAGAGTGGAGACTGTCCCCAGTGTCCAGCATTGGTCCCTTTCACCTCAGCATTGGTCCCTTTCGCCTCAGCCTTGACCCTGAGCTCTGGCTCCCAGGGCCTGGAACAGCCTGGTGCGCCCTGACCTGTGGCCCCCTCATCTAGTGGACTCCCCAGATCTGGAAGTTTCCACCTTGTTCCTCTAGAGCAGGTGGACAGGTCCCCAAGCAGGACCGTCACCTTCCCCAGCCCTGTTTCAGCTGGTATAGCTCCACAGCATTTGCTCCTCACATTGGGTTTCTAAGCCAGCTGACATTTGAAGAGGAGGTTCTGCAGGAAACAACAGCTTGGAAACCCTTACCCTAGAGAGGAATCCTTCAACCCGCTGGCTGCCATTGAGCCAGCAAGGCTCGCTTCCCATAGTCTCCTCTTCTGAGATGTCCTCTGTCCCTACCAGCCTCAGGCAGATGTCAGTCCCTGCTTGTCCCCTACAAAAGCCAACCGTCTCCCAAATCCCTTAAGAGTATTCTTTCAAAGGCATGATGGTGGGTGGTCTGCTGGGTGCTCTCTCTCTGGGCACATGGGTTGTACCTGTTTGTACGCAGTGGAGTTTGAAGTACTATTTTTTGCTCATTTGTTAATTGGTGTGTTTTTCCTCAAGAAGCCTTTTAATCCACCCTAGAGGAAGGAAAGGGTGGGGAAGGGAGTGACTCAGTAAGGAGGGAGGAGTAGGATTTTTCCTTTCCCAGACGGACCCCAGCCCCACAGCTGCCCCTAACATGCGCAGAAGTATAACCAGAGCCAGTTTGCCTGCGTTCCCGCCTTTTCCTCGCACCCCCAACTCCCCCCAGCAGGCAGCGAACAAACACCTCCACCCGCATGTCTAAATTCTATCCAAAGCCTTGCTAAAGACAGCTGCCCTTGGTTGTCCCTGAGGCCTAGGTGAGCTCACCACAGGACCAATGGGGAAGAGGCTGGGGCATTTGCGCAGAGAAATTGGATCCCAGGTACCCAAGGCATAGGACAGCGAGAAAGGACTGACCCTGGTTGGCACAGACTTGGCCCTTGGACTTGTCCTGTGGGGCGGGATTGGCCCCCACCAGAGCCAAAACAGGGCTCCTGAAACAATGGTCCAGGACTGCAGCCTGAGAGGACAAAAGAGGCCTGCCTGGGCACAACGGAGCGCAGGGGAGGGGTTGCCCTGCAGCCAGCCTCCTTCCGAAGCCCCCACCCAAGCAAGCACTCCTGAGCCAGCGGGAGAAGCAACATCAAGGTGTGGGCCAGCGCTCGGTAGCAGCACTGCACGGCAGAGGGGGCAAGAGCCGTGCAGGCCGGCCAGGGCGCCATCTGCTTAGACGGAAGGCTGCACAGGCCACCAGCATCCCAGCAACACAGTGAAGAAGGCGCGCTTCCAGGGCTGAACACTGGGCCCTTCCCTGTCTTGGCTGATGATGGGGTGGTGGGGGGCTGGGGGGTGGCAGAGAGGAAGGGAAAGAGACACCCGGTTGCATATTCTAAAAAGCCCAAATATGACATTTCTTCACCTTGGTGCACTCGCCAGTTTTAGGCATCTTCCCCACTCTGCCCCAAATCCCCACTCTCCTACACTCAGAGATCTTGAGTTTACTGCCTTCTATTTTAATACCTAATACATTTCTTTAAACCTTTTCCCGTGGAGAAATTCAAAGGCAAAATCAGATGGAAGAGTACAGCAAACCCCCATGTGCCCTTCATCAAGGCTCAGCACCATCAGCTCGGAGTCAATCTTGTTCTGTCCGAACTGCCGCCTATGTCTCCCCTCCCTGTATTATTTTGAGGCAAGCCCAAGTATCCTTGATTTCATCGATTAAGGCTTCAGAATATGTCTCCTAAAAATGATTCTTTCTAAAAAATATAACCTCAAGGCCTTTAGCACACCTAGACTAAAAAAAAAAAACACCTTAACATCTTGCACTATGCACTCAGTGGTCTCATTTCCGTGTCTCCTAAATACCACCCGTGGTATTGTGGGAAGGGCACTGGCAGAGGACAATCCGCAACAGGATAACAGCGGGCCTGGCTGTGGCCCGGACCAGGCGGGTGCCAAAGGTTTGAGTGGGGGAGGAGATGGTGGGAGATGTCCAGGGAACATGGGGACTGCAGGCCAGGGCTGAGCAGAGGGGGACAGAGTCCTCCCCCATTCCTTCCCAGCCCGAAGGAAAAGAGAGGCTGGAGGAATAGGGGCTGTGCAAGAACCCCCTGTGAGAGAAGTGAATTTTTCCTGAATGCTGGGGAGTATTCATTATCAGTAAATAGAAGTGTACACCTGTCACCTCGGCAGGCTCCAGGGACAAGAGTGAATTTCCTCAGGAGGTAATCAGTGTGCTGGGCTGGAGGGAGGGGGCAGGAAGAGGTCTTGGATTTGGTGAGTGTCAGACCTAACGCTACCCCTTTGGAGAGGGCGATGGAAAGGGAAAAGCATGTAGACTTTGTCCTCATACCAACCTAGGCTTACCGCCTGCTGCTGCCAGTTACTAGCTATGTAACCTGGAGCAAGCTCTTAACCTTTCTGAGTCTGTTCCCTTGTCTCTAAAGTGATAAAATGGGAAACTTAAAAGGCCCCTAAAGGGATAGATCCAGGAACACATGTGAAATGTCTCATCAGCACTTAGCCAGAGAGAGCCCAGCTGCTTGCTGGTTCTTTCCCAGCCTCTATCTTTTTCCCTTGACATCTAGATTCAGTCACACAGGTAGCCGAGGAGACCGAGCTCTGAGAGGGCTCACTGTGACAGAGATTCTCAGTCTTCATCTCCCATGCCATGTGGTCCCCAGGTGGCTATCACACTGGTGGGAACTCCAGCCTTTCTCCTCCACTCAAGAAAGCCTTCCAGAATGCAGGTGGGGCGGGAGAGAGGTTGTCTGGGACTGGGACATTATAGGATAGCTGAGGACAGCAGCAGTGACCAGCCAACGGAGAGGGCAGGAGAGACAGCGCTCTGAGACACCAGGGTTGCGGGGCGGGGAATCAGACAGCCCTGGAAGCTCTGTGAAGGAGGAGCCATGTTTATGACCTAGCACCAGGGCTCCAAGGGCGTGTGACCCGTGCAGTATCACAGAGTCCCGTGCTCGGAAGGGCTTGCACTTCATTTAAATGCCTTGCTGTCACCATCTTGACCTTGTTAAAATTTTTAACAAGGACCCCACATGTTCATTTTGCAGTGGGTCCCACAAATCATGCGGCCAGCCCTACCTGGCACCAACCTGCCAACTGTGTGGATTCCTGCAGCATCCCCAGTGAAGTGGAGAAAGCAGATCACAGCTGATGCAGCCTGTTGGGCTTCAAGAGCAGGTGTTTACATGGAGACAGGAAAGGTGAGGGACCATCACATGGTTCCAGGGACCACCCATGGTGTCTAGGACGGGCGGGCAGGGGACTGATGCATTCGAAGAAAAGGAAAGAGTCTAAAGTCTGGAGGTCTTACAGGCACCACTAGTTTGGGTGGAAATAGAAGTGTGATTGAGACACAACAATGATTTTATTATTTACTGATAATAAAAACTACCCAGCCCTCAAGCTGGGGCTTGAAGATTTCACAGGTAGAGCACATGGTGTGGCCGGGCCGGGGCCTTGGAAAGCAGAGCTTAGTGGAGGATCGGGCAAGCTGCAGCTGTAGGTGATGGGGTCAGGATGGCGATGGGAAAATGTGGGGAGAATGGGGGCAGTGGAGGTCCCAGCCCTCTGCAAGGGTTGCAGGACGAGCCTGGAGAGGGGGACGCTTGAGCCCCAACAGGTTTCCAGCACCAAGATTGATGGACAAAAAAAAAAAAGAGGAAGACAAATAACAGGAATGGGACACCAGAAAAAAGCCAGGTGGGCTGCCTGGGAAGACAGTGAAAAGGCTGACTAAATGTAGTCTGGGCACTAGCTCGTTGGACAGGTAGATGGCCACGCAGCTCAGCAATCAGAGGGAAGCTGGGTTGCAGAGTGGAAAGCCTGCGGATTCTGGCACCAGATGGCCTGGGTTCTAACCCTACCTCTGCTACTTGTTAAATGAGCCATCTTGGCCCAGTTATTTAACCTCTGCACCTGAGTTTCCTCGCTATGAAACGTCAGTTTGAATTTTTTTTATCTTACAATGTGCCTTTTGAATTAATATATGTAAAGCACTTAGAACAGTGCTTGACACCTAGTAAGGGTGCTGGACAAGTCATGCACTTGCTTTTATCATTATTATGACCGGTAAATAACACCGTGTGTGTGTGCACGTTGCAGCCGTCAGCCGCTAGCGGAGACGTGACTCCTTCACCTGCTGGCGCCGGAGGCTTAAACATCACGCAAGAGGCACCGGAAGGCGGCAGCCCCCTCCTCCCTCCCTGGTTAACATTTCTAAAGTATCTGTGAGATCCAACCGCGCAGGGAGCCAACGCCCCCCTGACTCAGAAGAAGAGGCGGTGGTCCACCCCGCGACAGGCACCTGGCCTGGAGCGGCCGCGACTACCCCACCCCCACCCCCACCCCCACCAAGCGCCAACACCTCTGGGCGGCAGGCGCCACCTGGAGGCCACCTCAAGATCTGCGGGAATGCCGCAGGCCCTTGGGCAGGTGGCAGAATCCTTTCATTCTCTTTTATCCTTTATTAAGCCACTGCTGTGTCTTAGGCTCTGGTGACAGGGGTGGAAATAAAGCTAACGTCCGGTCTCCCATGACATCTATGGCTTGATGGAGAAGATAGACCCTTGACAAATAATTCAATGTGTAACGCTAGGGCTGGGAAAGAGATGGATACAAAGGAGGGAATAACCAGAGCGCCTGGGTGGCTCAGTCAGTGAAGCGGGACACTTGATCTCTGCTCAGGTCATGATCTCAGGATTCTGGGATCAAGCCCCACGTAGGGCTCCACATTGGGGGTGGAGCCTGCTTAGGATTCTCTCTCTCCCCCTTCCCCTGCTCATGGTCGCTTGCTGTCACTCTTTAAAAAAAAAAAGGAGGGAGTTAACCAACCACCCAAGACATTTATTGGTGCCAGGTGCCATTAAAAGCACTAGAAATAAAGAAAGGAACAAAACAAGCTCCTGCCCCTGAGGAGCTCATCATGGGTAGGACAGACAGGCAAACTTAGAGGTAAGGGACAGAGTTAAGAATGAGCCAGCCCGGGATCAGAGGTGTCGGGAGGGAGGTCAGGGACATCCTCCAGGAAAATGTATTCCTTGAGTTCAATTTTAAAGAATGGGCAGGTTGGGAGGTGGGGGCGGGGTATCTTTTGTGAAATTGTGGAAGGAAAAAAAAAGATATGGGTTGGAGAGTGGCAAGTTCTGTGTCTGAAATACAAGGAACATGGAAATGAGGGGCTGGGACACCGGGCTGAAAAAGGAGTTTGGAGCCAGATCGTGAAGGGCTCCATTTGATGAGTGAAGAAGTCTGGACCGGATCTGGAGGACAGCAGGGAGCATCCCAGCATCCTCAGCAGAGACCTGCGTTCGCCCTGAGATGCAGAAATGAGGACAGGTGAGAATATTAGCAGCTCAAACTCTTAGGTGCCAGAGACAAGCTGAGCACTTGGCACCCTCTACATGAGCCTATGGGCTACTATTATCATTCCAATTTAACCAATGGAAAAAACAGGCAGCCATCAAGTGCCGGCTACACTGAAGTTAGGTTCAAACTCGTGGGCCAGCTTCAGGCCTGCGCAATTCTGCGGACAGCAGAGCCAGCTGTGCGGGTTGGGGGGAGCAGGGGCTAGAGCCAAGACCCACTTTGTGGGGGCCATCAGCAGTATGAAATGATCTGCAAGATGAAGAATAGGAAAGAGCTGACAACCAGATTATTAGGAAAAATTCACTTTTGAGATAATCAATTGTTAGACCTGGAAAAAAACCTTACGGCTCATCCAGAACAACCCCATTCTGCCCTCAATTCGGGCACTGATTCAAGCCACATGAGTCTGCACCGTATCTCTGTCTCCCGCCCCAGCCCCCGGAAAGCATGAGCCCAGCATGTTCCCAAGTGCAGGCCTCCGCTGGATCTCAGCCTTGTGCCTACTCATGGACACCACTTCATCCATCGGCCCCTCTCACACGACCTGAACTTTTTTTTTTTTTTGAGAGAGAGAGAGAGAGAGAGAGAGAGAGTGCATGCACGTGAGGGGGGCTCAGTCCCACCACCCTGAGATCATGACCTGAGCCGAAATCAAGAGTTGGTCGCTTAACTGACGGAGCCACCCAGTTGCCCCCAAACAATGGTTTTATCTTTCTTTCTACTGAAGGAAACATGGACATGTTCCCAAAACATGCAGATGTACTATAATTTCTTCCATCTAAAATTTTTTTTTAATTTAAAAAATCCCATTGATCCCAGATCTCTCCCACTGCCACCATTCTATTACATCAATCCTCTTCAAAAGAGTTAATTATACTCAGACTGCACTTTCTCTCCTCTTAGCCTTTCTTGAACCCACTTCAATCAGTTTCATTCCTGTAACGCCACCCAAATTGCTCTCATGGAGGTCACTAATCACTCCACAGCACAGTCTCGAGTCAGTCAAGAGTTCTCATCTTGGTGACCTGTCAGCAGCATTCAACACTGTTGTGTGTCTTCACTCGGTGCCTGAAAGCTCTCTACGCTTTTCTCTACCTGCATCCACTTCCTAAGGATCTAACTTGGCCTCCCGCTTACAACTCCCAAGTGTGTATTTCCAGCCTGACTTCTCCCGGGAAATCAGACCCGTATATCCAGCTGCTGACTTAACATCTGCACTTGGACCCTGATGCCTGATATGAATCTCAAACTTAGTGTGTCCAAAAACAAGCTCTGAATCCTCCCCTCAAGCCCCACTCCTCCCACACCCCTTCCCATCTCAAGCAATGAAAAGCCCAATATTCCAGTTGCTCAGAACCAACCCTTTCATCCTGAGATCTGAATTTGTCAGGATAAATTGGGTTATGCTGCAGTGACACAGAACCCCCAAATCTCAGAGGCATCACACACAAATGTTTATTTTGTTGTTCGTGTCCAGCCTGAGCTGGTAGGAGCTCTATGCATTGTGTTCACTTAGGGACCTGACCAAATATTTCCACGTGCTTTGAGGCAGGAGAAGGCATGTTACAAGGTCTTGCTCTCACGCTTAAATGCCACCCCCATTTCTTCTGCTCGTATTCTGTTGTCCAAAGCAAGTATGGCCACACCTAACTTAAAGGAGGGTGGAAAATGCGAGCCTATGTGCCAAAAGCAGAAAACAACTGAAATATCGTGCACAGCCCTCACCATCCTCGACCCCTCTCTCTCCCCGCACCAACATCTTTCACTTGGGTCGTTGCAATAGCTTCTTTACTGGACTTTCTGCTTCTGCCCTTGGCCCCCTCGGCCGATTCTCCACACAGCACCCTAGTGATTCTTTTAAATGTGTCACCCCTCTTCTCAGACCTTTCCGATGTTTCCCATCTGAAGGAGGGTAATAGAGTCCTTACAGTGACTCATACGGCTATGTAAGCTGCCCACCCTGTTCCCACTTCTCAAACCTAATCTCCTACAACCGCCTCTTTTGATCCCTCCTGTTCAGCCCTGTTGGGCCCGGGGGGTTCTGGGATATGGAGCATGTTCAGCCTCAACACCTTCACACGTGCTTGCTCCTTGCACCTAAAATGCTCTCACCAGGTAACCATGTGTCTTTCTCCTTCAGATCTCCGCTCAAATGTCTCCTATTCATAGAGGCCTTCCCTGATCACCTTTAAAATCACAATCACACACACACACCAGCAGCACTCCCCATGCCCCACCCCCAACACTGCTTTATTTCTCTTCAGAGAACTTGTCACTGCCTGGCATATTATATATTTGGTTTAATCTGCTTAACATCTGCCTCCGCAACTAGAATATATGTTTTATGCAAGCAAGAATTTTGTTTTATCACCACTGCCTCTCCAGGGCCTGCAACATAAAACAAGTTGAACTTGAGGAGGTGAGGCCCAAAGCTTGTCAATGCAGAGCTTGAAATAAACTGTCACTCTCCAGACCTTCTATCCACAGCTCTTCCCAATATACCATGAAGCATCTTGAAAAGCCATATGCAGGCCCAGATTGCCCTGGGGAATGAAGAGCTGCTCATTTACCCGAGTCAGAACTCAGACCAGGGCATATGCGAAATCTCCCTGTGCGTCCCTGTGGGAAGTGCGTGTGTGCAGGGGACGGGGGAAGCCACTCTGCGCTCCACCACGGGTGGTGAGGCCTTTGTGTAGGGAGCCACATGCAGACTCCATCAGCGGTGATGGAACGTTCATGATTGGCACCTAAGGGTCTACCAGACCTATTATTATTCATGTAATGGAAATAAACGGAGACTTAATACAAGAAGTGCTTATGGGGGGAAAGGTGTGTTGACCAAAAAAACCCATCAGGGCCAGAGCTGCTCCAGCGCCTTCATCCCCAGCACCTGCTCTGGTCCCAGTCCCAAACCCAGCCTTCCCTCTGGCCTCCTCAGCCCCAGAAGCAGCATGTAGACTTCCTGCCCCACCACGGCCTGGCCTCAGCGTGGGCCCTGGTGCTGACCAGCAGGCTCTCCCGGCATGGGGTCTGGCCAGGTCTCGTCACGGCGTCCTCCGTCACGGACAGCGACAGGGAGCCCCAGGGCAAGCGCCCAGCCTGAGTGGTCCGGCCGCTGCTGGGGACCGTGCACACACGCTCGTGCCGGACTTGGAAGTCGGCAAGTGCTTCGCAGCGCCGCCCAGCTTGTGGGAGGAGAGGACTCGGCTAAGGATGCGTACACGTTGCCCAAGAACGTATCCCAGATGTGCCCACCCTGGGCTGATGCAGCACCTCACAAGGCACTCTGCGCTGATCCGTGAGCCCTGCACTCAGGGTGGGAGGCGGGCCCATCCTCATGCCCTCACCGTGGACTCAGCAACGGAACGGCCAGAGGAGCATCAAAGCTACATCAGCACTTTCACGGAGCCCCTGGGAAGGCCAAGGGTGACATTCAGGCTTCAGACAGTGGAATGTGTGTGTCGTAACACCAAATGCACCGTAGTTAACCTGCTCATGAACCTGTTCTGGGCCCCCAGGGGTGATCCAGAACATCCTGCTGGTAATCGCCGCTCTCCCCCCATCATTACTGATTCTGTCTCTCTAATCTTCTAAAGATTCAACCATGCTCACTGCCTCTGGTGTCCTTTGCCTTCTGGAATCCACCCCACCCTCCCCCCAGCTGCTCTGGTCCAGGTCAGGGATTGCCTCCCTATGCCAAATGCCATGATCAGTGGCGCACCTGCTTTTCTGCCTCATCTTCCAGACCTCTCAATTTTAGAAAGCCTCAAGATTTAGTCTGTAACATCTCTTTTCCCTTATTTATATTCACTTTTAAGGTGATCTCATCCAGTTCCATGATTTTAATACATATATAAATTTAGGACTCCTCGATTTTTGTCTCCAACCTTAACATTCTGCCGAACTTCAGGCCCCCATACCCAACTACCGACTCAGCGTCTCTGTCAGGACATCCAATTAGCAGCACCAACTTCACATGCCCTAAACCAAACTGTCTCCTTCCTCCCCTTTCTCCCTCCCTCCTTCCCTTCACCCCTTCCTTCCTCTATTCCTTTCTTTCTTCTTAAATCTTTTCTCCCTCTCCCTCTCTTGCTCTTTTACTTGTAATAGGGAATTTCAAACATCTACAAAATAGACAGACTGGTCTAATGAATGCCCATGTACCCATCACACAGATTCAACTCATGGCCAATCTTTCTTCTCTTCCCCCTGAAGCCTGTATCATTTTGAAGCTAGTCCCAGAGATACACACTGTGTCACTTTGTGTGTATTTCAGTGTGTGTCTCTCAAAGATAGGCCTCATGTTTATGGCACCTGGGTGGCTCAATCGGTTAAGCGTCTGCCTTCAGCTCAGGTTGTGATCCCAGAGTCCCGGTATCCAGTCCCACATCCGGCTCCCTGCTCAGCGGAGAGTCTGCTTCTCCCTCCGCCCCTCACCCCACTCTCATGCTCTATCTCACTCTCTCTCTCTCTCAAATAAATTTTAAAAAAAGACGTCACATTTAAGCATGATCATCATACCATTACTGCACTCACAGAAAATAACAGTTCCTTCATATGACCTCATACCCAGTGTTCCAATTTCCAATGGTCTCATTAAGTTTTGGTAAGCTTGTTTGTTTGAATCAGGATCCAGAAGAGATGGA